TAAATCTTGCATTATAAATCGTGAAGCTAAATCCTTTGTTAATCTTGCGTCAATACTAATTTTCAGTCGTTAGTATCATAAGATAACAACATGAACAATAAATCTCACAAGAGGGGAATTCTATAGTAATATATAATGACGTAATATCTATTACTTCCCTTATAATTAAACACAATTTTTTTTAATTGATGATTGATTTTGATTGATCTAATGCTAATATTAGGAGATTGATATGATCGATTAATGTTAATAAATTTTATGAAGAAAATTTGTAATGATTTATTTTTTTATATAATTATTAATTGAATAATCTGAAAATCATTTAACATTGTCTTCATTTTTTTAACTATACCATATGGGAGCTGATCTATTATAAGTAGGTTATGAGACATAGTAAATCATATGATCTGTAACTTAATTTTAATAGAATACTACCTATATTATCACGTTATAAGTCAAAAAAAGAAAAATGTAATTAATAAAACAATATTAAAAAAAAGGTTTAACTTATAGAGAAAAGAAAGAATTATATTTGCTTCATCAAAAAAATTTATCATTAACATAAAAAAAAATAGGAAAAATTTTGATATTAAAAAAATACTGTTTATAATATTTTAAAAAATAAAGAAATAGTTAAATATAGAATTTAATAATTACAATACAACTAAACAAAAAAAAAAGTCATCAAAATTTTCTAATTAGAAAAAGTATTAGCAATTTGAATTCAAATGCTTTATCTGCTAATAAAACTATAATGGGAGAAATCATTATAACTAAAGCTATTGATTTTGCAAAATTAATGAATATTGAAAGGTTTACTAAATCAATTAGCTGATTAAATAATTTCAAAAAAAAACATAATATTAAACAATACAATAAATATGGTGAGACTCAGAGTGATCCTAATGAAGAAGAATTGGCTAAAAAATGAGAAAATTTACAAGAATTAATTAGTAATTTTGATTCTGAAAATGTATTTAATTGTGATGAAACAGGTAATAATTTCCTACTATTGTTAAAACTAATTAAGTAATATAATTTTAAACTTATGAAAATATTGTATTTATTTTAGGATTATATTAAGAACTAAAACCTTTAAAATATTATCTACTGGTCTTCTTCTTAAAATAAAAAATAAAAAAATAGGTTTATAATTTTATTGAATTTAACGCAACTGACTTAATTAAACTTTTAGCACTTTTTATTCATAAATATAAAACACCAAGAAATTTAAAGAAAAATAATAAATCAAAACTTCTATTGATTATTTTTAGAATAAAAGTATTTGGATGCAAACATCTATTTAAAATAAATATTTAGAGATTTTAAATCAAAGAATGAAAAAACAAAATAGGAAGATTCTTCTTTTGGTAGATAATGCTTTAGTTCATGCTGTTAATAATTCAGAGTTATTAACAAATATTACAATTCATTATTTGTTACCTAATACTATAACACATTTGCAACCTGCTGATGCTGACATTATTAATTCATTTAAGGTTTATATATTATTTATTTATTAAATTATAAAATCATTTACATATTCTAATAAGTTAATTATTAATCTTAGGCATAATATCATAAAAGACTTATAAAAAATAGAATTGAAGCTTATGTATGATGATGAAATAGAATTAAATATACTAGTTTCTAAATTGAAAATAAGTAATTCTATTTCATTTAATTTCTAATAATCTGTATTTAGCTTCTTCAAAGTATTGCAATGCTTTTGGAGATGTTTTAGAAAAGGTTTCTTACAAATCCAGCATTCAGTTATTTCATTATACTCTTTAAGATCTCTAGGTACTATGATTATTTCAGCTGGTGTAGATAAATCTTTCTGAATGGTTAAAAGCTTCTCTTCTATTATTGTAACAAATCTTTTTAATGCATCTGATCCTCTATATAAATCATAACTTGTAATCTCATAATTAAGTAAACAGTTTATATGAACAACCACATAGCTATAACCACATAGTTTATGCATTTGTAATCTTTTGTATTAGTTAACTTCATTTTTTCTTCTGGAGTTAGCTTTTCGGTTAACATTTTCAGATCCCAGAAAATTTGATATGGATTTGGTTGTATGCATTTATGATTATAAAAAGCTTTGATACTTTTATACTTTACCAACATTTGTGATCACTAAGAAGCATTATTTAGATCCTTGCATTTTGGCAAATGTTTATTATATCTTATCTCTGAAGAATATACATGAAGACAATATTGACAAATGTATTTCTTCCCTTTATGTTTACTATGATTATATATCAGCTTATGTAAATCTTTGATAATGCAGTAATGGCTTTTATCATCTTCTGTAATTACTAAAAAGTCACTTACTTGTATTTATTCTCTCTTCTTTCTAAAACATAGTAAAATTCAAGATACTTATTCTAGTTATGCCATTTATAAACATATAAATTGATTTCAGGATTATTTTTTTCGAACTTTTTATAAACTGGTGTGGAGACTATACATGAAATCGAAATGAAAACCCAAAAGTCGAAATAAAAAGTCGAAATGGTTGAAATGACGTCATATCACATGATTTTTATATATAAAAAAACAAAAAAAAACAAAAGATGTACGATCTCGGTCAATATCACTCCGATTCGTATGAAACAACTACCATTCGATTCCTTGCGACTAGACGAATCCAATGAAATAATATTCATTGATTTTGGATCAGCCCGTCTCGAGTTATTTGCGATCGTATTTCGAAATTCAGACTTCTTTATTTAAAGTAGAATTTATTGATTCATAATTTTGGCCGATAATACAATTATCTCGAGATTGGATGATCCAAATCAATGAATGTTAGCTCAATGGATCCGTCTAATCGCGGGGAATCAAATGGTAGTTGTTTCATTCGAATCAGTGCAATATTGACTGAGATCATACATTTTTTTGTTTTTTGTTTTTTCTCAATATGAAAAATCATGTGATATGATGTCATTTTGACTATTTTGCGACTTTAGCCTTCAATGGTCGAAATGATTTCGACCCAGGGTCTCGCCGCCCTATCTCAGTTGGTAACAACTGAGACCTATTGTAGGTTACACTGCAATAGACCCTAGTTCA